TCTTTAAAATGTTGAACGTCACATTTACACGTTCTACCCCATCCTTCTACTTCACTTTGTGTGATTACATAACAGAAATTTTAAATTAATACCGACGTTTTTTAAAAGTAATAATGCTCTGACACATTTGAAACCAATCCAAAAGGAGATGTTTGCCACAAGTAAATTACAGCAATAAAAAACACACAAGTTTGATGTATGCAGTCACCTTGCTTTTAGCAACATTTGCACAATGCTATGTGGACATTTTATTTACATATCTTGTTATTTTATGTTTCGGTTAGCAACATTGAGTCTACTAATTGTGTATTACTTGTACTAACTAATCTGTGCTTGTGTACCAACATGTTGCAATCACTTGTAATGAAGTGACATACTTTGCTGCAATTTTGTTTGATCTCTGCCCTGTGAGGGCCTCTTTGAGGTCCGTCCAGGATTAATAAAAATGCTGTTGTGCCTGCTCATGTGCATAGCCAACCAATAATTTCCCATCGGTGGAAATTAGCCAAAATGTACAGTGATTGAGGTTTACTGTTCACAGAAAACAAATGCAATTGAGAGATGTTTTACTTTCAAAAGTAAGTGGGCTTGACCAGGCCGTATCGCAACAAGTAATCATAACCAATGAACTAGACTGGAGATTCAATGACAGCCAAATGATGGAGACATTTAATCGGCTCAGGCACAGTACTGAGAGAGATGGTGACGACGTGGAAAGGCCTTCATTCAGCAGTGCATACATTTATGGTTGATGAGGGGCAACATTTGGCTACATGATGTTTTGAATGAATACATATACACATTTAGATTTTTAGTGAATGAAATGTTCATGTTCGTCGTTTCACAAGGTGCAGAGGACACCCTTCTGAAACTTCCTCAGTCTGCTGAGCATTGCATCATGTCAAAATGGCTCCAGACGGTGTCACCACAGAAATTATTTTGGAATAAAACACATCCTTATTAACCAACATGGGCTAATCATAATCAGACAATATCAATCCACTGCTGGATTAAGGCCTCGCCATGCTGTTGCCATTTATCATGGTCCTAAATTGTACCTTTTCATAATGTACTATAATATATTTTTGTGAGCAATTATTTGTAATTTGAGCTCATCAACTCCCAATACCAGAGTACCTTTTGTTGAACCAGATTTCAGCCCAGCAGTGCTGCTCAGTACTTGGAAAGGCATTGGCCTTCTGAGGGATCCAAGCCAAATTACTTTATGTCTACTATATTATACAACATAAATATGAATAGATACTACACATGCGGTTATGTAATGGATTCCACAAGCCAGTGTATTGTTCCTGCATTCTTTGTAGTTTGTGTTGAAAGGATCAGCAAAGCTCAGAACAAGTTGCCTGTAACCAGTATGGTGGCAGAGGCAGTGGTGACATGTGCTTAAATGCAGTGTTTGTAGATTGCATTCCGACTCTGGCACGAATAGCAGTGCAGTGTTTACTGCTGTCCATCCAAACACGGGCGACACAACATTGGTAGCCAAAGTGTTTAGGCATTTTTTTAAAGCCCTGTTTTGATTTTCTTTGGATAGAAGCCCAAATTAACTTGAGACTGGTAGCTTGAGTCATAAAATGTATAGAACACACCAGATGGCTTGATTGGCTTTGTTTTGTGTTATCAGTAAAGGTTAAACCTCTAAGAGAGGAATAGATAACATCCCAGTAGTACTATAGGCTTTTTATGTTGGCACAGAGCTTTAAAAAGTCACTCACAAATGATCCATTGTGGCCTTTGTTGTATATATAAAATACAAGTAAAAAAGAATAATGATCGACTGGCATGTCAAGTTTTCTCAACTCTTGACTGGTATTTCTGGACTTGTTCCTGTTTAATAATATAGTGGGTACATCCCAACTTTAAAAAGTCATCGCATCATGCTTTGTCAAATTTTTGGAGAAGAATTCATAAACAAGCAACCCATTTTATTTGTTTTCTGACTTTTGCAGGGCAGTGGGAACTTGTGATGTCTGTGAAAATGACCTCGCAATCGTTTTTCTGTAGTGGAAACACTTAACGTTTTACAATATGTTGTCCTTTTTTCTGTTGAATAAAACGTAAAGTGACCATTCCATCATTAAAACTGCCAGTCGGCCATTGTGGGTGTTATGATTGCATAAGAGAAGCAGAGAGTTAGCATTAAGTGTTTCTACTTTGGCATCGTTAACAGCATTTAATAACAGGGTACGTTCTGTTGAGGTGCTTTTTGAGGTTCAACTAAAGGTAGGAGAACATTTCCAGTGCGATTGGCATGCTGGGTTGGCACAGTTGTTACCTGTTTGTGGAACGAGCTTTTAAATAAAAGTGGAATCTTGGAATCTGTTGCATGAACCTGCATTTGCACCGAGTTTCTGTCAGCTAAGAGCTTGTGGTCAAGCCGTGTTATACTTGACGCCGTCTTTAAAATGTAAACGGGGAGCATGACGAAAAGCAGACCCAGGAAAAATCCAGTGCAAGCGTGGAGTTATTGTTGAAGTCCAAACCTTACCTCTATGCACAGCCTGCTGCTGTGTGTTTCTAAGACTGATATCACCTAAGGTATTACATTCGTTTATTTCATAATTATTGTTATCTTTTAAGCTGTCTTAAATAGCCAGTGTTTGCATTACTGGACCAGATTTATTAATGAATAATGACATAACAAATTACAACGTTTGCACATTATAAGACATGCACAGTACATCTTAAATGAACACATTTTTACATAATTTACCTAGGAAATTCAAATTAATGATGTGCATTTCACATAGAGGAGAGTATTAGTTGGGTTTAAGGTGACATAAAAACACGAAACAGGTGGGCCTCGAAGGCTACTGTCTCCCAGTACGTCTTAAATTAACCGTAATGTTTACTCAAATAGAATGTGCCTAGGAGATTCGGACTTGAGTCTCAAGATATATGTTAGGAGCGATCTGCTTCAGATATTTGTCCAACTTCTTGCCTGTTTTTCTGATACGATAAGCCAAGTTTACTTGCTTAATCAAGTAAGTACTCAAGAGACCAGGATAGTCGCATTTCCAAGCATGAACTGGGTATAACACTGCAATTGTCTGGAAATACCCTTGCCTATGAGTGCATAAAAGTGGCTCTCCACACAAATAAAATCTATAAGAAGTTGCTGTACTAGATCCTGTATTATGATACAGTATTAAAAAAATATATTTTTAAATGACATGTAATGGAGCAATGGAGTAATAGTTGGCACACTCCACTAGAAACCTAGCCTCCTGAGTTGATTCCCAGCCATGGCTAATGTAAGTGGCCAGTGATATCTGAACTCATCCTGGACTCCCCCTCCATCCTACTTCACAACACCATACTTTCACCACACTGAACAGCATGGTCAAGTATGGTCACATCATTGCCATGGCTGACGTGACCCGGGGAGGCCTTTATCCAGCAGTGGACGCACAAAGGGATGTAAAGCACAAGCTATTTACACGTTTATACTGGTGGGAACCACCGGGTTCCACCAGCCCACAGGGGAGTATTGTGTCCGTCCATCGTGCATCCAAAAATGGGAGGGGTGGGGCTGGGTGGAGAGGGGAGGGTGGGGAAGGGCTGGGTGGGGAGGTAGGGGCTGGGTGGGGAGGGGAGGGTTGGGAGGGGCTGGGTGGGGAGGGTGGAGCTGGGTGGGGAGGGGAGGGTGGGGAGGGGCTGGGTGGGGAGGGTGGGAATGGGCTGGGTGGGGAGGGTGGGGATGGGCTGGGTGTAGAGGGTGGGGAGGGTGGGGGGTGGGAGGGGTGGGGCTGGGTGGGGAGGGGCTGGTCACCCCGTGGTGCCCTTATAAAACTCAACGTTTCACCTACTCACGCCGGCTTGTGCCCGCCCTCACAGTCGGACATATTTGCGGAATACACCACGCCGCCATTGACCGAGCAACCCAACGTTCCTACCAGCTCCCTCCGCAGGAATGTGTTTTCTGTACAAAAGAAAAACTCAATTACTTTGTTCAGAAAACATTAAACACTGTCAATGGCCAGCCTTCCAATGTTAGGGCTTTGAATTTGGCAATTCTGCGGTTCAGACATGAGACATTGTCTGAGAGTAGGATATCCTTCCGTCATGATTGATTATCCCATGAAGCAGCAAACTATTAATGCAGAAAAACCACCACTTTGTCTTCTGTCCTGTGGCAGTTGGAAATTGAATATCAATATTAAGTTGAGTGGTCAGTAGCTTTGAGGTAAACATAGGCGTATACATTTTTTTCTGTTCGTTTCGATTCGTACAGTTGTTGCGAAACATGTTTTTACTTTGCCTTTTGAGAATCCCAGATGTCCTCTTGTAATTAATTCTCGGCTTTGGCATGGAGTGCTGTGCTATTGAAGCTTCTGTGAAATATTTTTAACGTGTATTATTACCATATTATGTAGGTAATATAACTGATTTTCTTCCAGATTTGTTTGTCTTCCCGCTGCTTGTTACAATAAAATTGTCACTGATCCAAAATATAATTAGTGTAATTTGTAATTTTACTTGTCAGTTAAAATTATCCCTATACTGTGAGAACATGCATGCGCTAGTTTCTCATGAACAAAAAAAACTTGAATTGTATTCTTAATAGTTTTTACTTGTTGCAAAGATCTCCCAAGTAAATGTGCTACGTTGGCCTAAGGTTGCATGTTTTTTTTCTGGCTGTACTTGTTAGACTAACTCCACCTACTAACCTGTCTACCTCGACCCACGTACCTACCTAATCCCCTACCTGCCTACCATCCATACAAACCTAACTCCCTACCCATCTACTGACCTAACTACTCACCTTCCTGCCTACCTATCCCTACCACCTACCCATTTACCCACCTCTCTACCTACCTACCCACTTGCCGAGCTGTCGATCTCTACTCACCTACCTACCCCTAGACATTTTCCTACATATTTACCTACCTGCCTACCCACTCACCTGCCTGCCTACCAACTCGCCTCCTGACTTGCCGACCGACCTGATCGGTGTGTCCGTTGCGCCCTTTCGCCAGGCTCACCGGTGCCGAGCAGAACAAGGCCTGGTACGCGGCGCTCATCACCGTCACGCTGATTTTCTACGCGGCGGCCATCGCCGCCTTCGCCCTCATGATCGTGTTCTACACGAACCCGTTGGGCTGCGCCCTCAACAAGGGCCTCCTGTCTCTCAACCTCGTCCTCTGCGTGGTCGTCTCGCTGCTCGCCATCTCACCCTGCGTGCAGAAGCGTGAGTTCCTCGCAATATCATGCTTGGTGTGGGGGGGGGGGTGTGTGCAGTGAAGTGATGGTAGAGATGTTTAATTTTTCGACAAAACTATTGTGTTGTTGTGGAGCATTCTGGGTAATGGCATATATAAACCGAACTCTGTTTTGTGTCTTGTCTCCACATATAAATATAGTATGTTTTAGTCCATTGGCCAATTGGCTTTCCAATCCAATATTATCCAGCAGAATTTGTTTAAGCAAGCAAAATTTGAACACTGTAAAGGGAGTGTTCTTTCCAAATAACATTTGGAAACCCAGAACAATCTGTTCAATTAGCCTGACTGCTGATGAAACTCAGAAGGTAGAAACCGGTCTAGAGTTTGCTTGTGTAAACAACTGCTGCTGGATAATATTGGTCTTGAAAGCTAACAGAGCATTGGACTAAAATATTTTACTTGTATGTGGAAATACAATGGCGTTCCACGTATATTTTTAATTGCTACCTCTAATACAGAGCATTTATACTTGGAAGATATCACAGTTGAGCCGAAGTTGTTCTGTTGAGGCCTGCTTAACCATTCTTGGCTGCTTAAGAACGAAGTAACGCATTTATACTCGAGCACCACTAGTGCTGTCACAGAATTGGCGATGGTCTCTTCCAAGCTCACTTCAGGAGCAAGGTCGCTTACCTGACAGGCTTGCCATTGACTGCCACGTGGCTGCAGAGACCACGCACAAATATTTGTGTGTTGCTTCAGCATGACAGGCGAAAAATGGCAAGTATGAAGAAGGCACTCAGAGGCCGACGTGACAAAGGGCATTCTGTCAAGTGTAAACACTTCATTAGTAAAGCAATTGCTCTGTTGTAAAAAAAAATCCCTCCATCCATTTCCTCGTAAATTCACGCACCCCACAATCCAGTGTAATTACTCACGTGCACAGTGCTCTTAGGCAGATGCATCACTTTTTGTAGTGAGTCACTCTGCACGAAGGATGGGCTCGAAGTGCCTCTCTGCTTGTTTCATCTAGGAGATAACGTATAGCACATATGTGCAGGGATGTGCCAAGTTGATTTATGTTTGCTGGTGGTCTGGGGATTTTTCTGACTCATGCCTTATCTATCTATTATGTACAAAAAAACCTCACTGCATTTCTGAGTGTGAAAGAGACCAGTGGGTTTTGGTAATCTTATAACTTATTCCATACCTGTTGTGGGTGAATGCTCTGTGCATTTTACATAAACGCATTCAAAACTCACAACCAGATCTAATATTTTTATCACTTGAACTGCATAACTGTGTCTTTCATAACTTGCTATCATCACACCCTCAAATAGTGTGACACTTAAGGCAAATAGTTTTGTTCTGTTCATATTATATTTTTGTGCATAGTGCTGCCAGGTTGAAAGTTGTTCCATGTGAATGGGTTGTGTAATAATAATCACAGCCCTTTGTCAATCCGCTGCTGAATGAATGCCACCTTCACCCCATGGTAGTTGTTTGACCATTCCTCACTACCCTGGTCAGTATGGGTTGGTGGGGAGGACAGGACTAGTTCGGATATCACTCAGCACTGATGTTAGCCACGGCTGGCAATCGAAGGTTCATAGCACGATGAACTAAACACTGCAACATTTATCCCCCCCCCCTCCCCCACGAATGTACAATGTAAGCTTGTATGTCTGCGTTCATATAATATAGCATGTGTCTCCACGTGCTCATGGTACGCACTCGCTTGTATTTGAAACCTGCGTGCGAATGGTGTGCGACCATCCACGGGAGCCCACGGGGCAGCATCTCTTAGTGGAGGTGCAATGCTGTAATCCCGCTTTGATCACTTGCTGCTTGAAATTGTCCAGCATTGCTGTGGAACCTTCCCTTTAATCCCTCTGCCTGACCTCTATAGGTACAGCCCAGCAACATGTTCTCCCCGTGGTCGCGTGGATTTTTCTCCGAATCCTCCGGTTTTTCCCTCCACATTGAGAAACTGTAGAATTTCGGCGGCCGATATCCATCTCATTCTAGCTCTTGCGGAGGGCTTCTTGACGCTTTGCGTCTCGCTTGTCACTCCCACTGATGTTGTCTTCTTCCCCCCCCCCCCCCAATATGTGCAGATACTACTGACTATATTGTATGTAGAGTGTAGGCATGCATACCTACAAAATAATACATATTTTGGTGGGGGGTGATTTTTTTTTTTGGGGTAAGTCGACAATTTTTGTAAACCTGTTGGATCAACTTTTTACCGCCACATTTTGGGGGGGAGGTGGGGGGTCCATTTTCTTTAACTTTTTTTTATTCAGGCCTTCTGAAAGGCTCTTAAAATTTTATAATAGATGCATTTAGAGTACAGTAGCATCCCTCTTAACAACGGTAATTGGTTCCACGAAACCGGTTGTCAAGTGATTTGGAAATACATGTTAAAGGCTTAAGTCGTTTCTATAGCATCAACATTTTCCATTTTTCACCCAAAAACATACCTTATAATATTTAACAATGGATATTAATACATAAAGATACTAACAACATTATAAACACATACTGTTAAAAGAAGCATGGTTAATTAATGCATTAATTCATATTTACTGTACCTACAACAGTCCGTCGTTAACAGGGGAATGGTTATATTCTTGGTTCTTTCGGTAAAGTCACGTAGAAGGGAAATAATAAAATAATATAAATATAAAACAATAACATTCTCACGACGTTTCGACTGCAACACAAGCAATCATCATCAGGTGTGACATCCACAGCAATAATTATTTTTTTTCAAATTTTCTTGCTGTGGATTTCACACCTGATGATGATGATTGCTTATGTTGCAGTCGAAACGTCGTGAGAATTTTTATTGTTTTATTTTATATTATTTCCCTTCCATGTGACTTTACCGAAAGAACCAAGAATATGAATCCCTGCAGTCACGAAAGCTTTAAATCAAAATTTCGGGTAATGGTTGTTAAGCGAACAAATTGGGCTCTATGGAGGCCGTCGTTAAGTGATTAGTCATTAACAGGGGTGGTCATTAAGAGGGGTTCTACTGTATTTGGCTGTTATAAATTTACACATGATAAGCCACTTCTGCAAGTGCTCTCATTTATAGCCAGGTCGTTTCTGAAAAAGAGCTGTATAGCTCAGTGGGCCTTACCTGGTAAAAAAAAAACATCACCACAATCTACATTATCTCCTTATCAAGGCCCAGAAGAATGTGTCATTAAGGTTTGGGCAACTTTCACAGACTGAAGTTTTTAAAGCTGAGATTTTAACTCAGTGAGTTCACATTTGTAAATCTGTTAATTTATAACCAGAACAAATGCATCTTTATCCAGCTGTTAGCTTGTTGGATTACTGTTAAAATGTTAATGGCTTCAGGTCAAACACAATTGTCAAACAATTGAATTTACTACACTAATGTTAAACTGGCAGTGAATCAAATGTACTTTAAAGAGTATCTATTTACAAAATGTATATGATATGCCACACTCAGAAATGCAACATACAGAATGAGTCAGTATATCCTTGCTGGATTGGCTGAAATTATATATAGCACAAGATGTGTGTGCCTGGAATGTTTTACGCACTCTCGCAAATCTTGAAATGTTTAATGCACACATGGCATATCCACCCACATGACCGATGTGCCGAAGCTGTAAATGCTTCTCCCAACACATTACCACTTGAAGGAGGTGTCCCGAATAAATCTATGGCGTATCAGTGTTTTCCATTTAATGGTGGAAAGTTTATGTAGTGCCTTACAATTTTAGCCATGCGCAGGCCTCACTGGACACCGTCATAAATAATCCATAAGCGTTGGCGCAGTGTGACCAGCGTTGGCCCCGTCTTTTCCTGTTGTTTATGTTGAGTGCTTCTGCACGTGACACGAGCCTGCGTTTGCAAGAAGCGGCACAGCTCCACTGCCCAACTCAGGAGTGTTTTCTGTTTGTTTGATATTTTGTTGAAATGTCCATGTCAATCACTGCTCACTCCACGGGGGTGCCAAAATAAATGTGCATTTGTTTATTTGTGTTTTAATATACGCTTGCATTTACATTTGTATACACCATATGCGGGGTAGACCGGTGATGGCACGGTGGTTAGCACGCTGCACCATGAACCCGGCGACCCGAGTCCAATTCCTTGCCATGGCTAACATCAGTGATGAGTAATATCTGCACCGGTCCTGGGCTCCTCAATCTCTTCACCAACATTGTACTAACCAGTGTGGTGAAGTGTGATAATACAAACCCTAATGACTGGTATGGTGAGGAGGACTTCATTTAGCAGTATATTGAAAAATGGGTTTAAAAACAAAGTAGTCCGAAGTCAAGCTAAAGAGTCACACCGCTCAAAGAGTACTGCCGACAGTGCTGATCTCCTTCAGTGACCAGAGGTACACATTTCCCACTCTATGGCAGGAGCTCATACAACTGTTGTTGACTTTTTACAAAGTTGTATGAATGATTAAAGTGTTTATAAAAGCACAAGCGATATTTATAGTGCATACCTTCAGGTTAGCTTTTGGAATGTCAATTTTATTATTCTGAGCGCAGACCTGTAGACAGAGGGTGGCATTGTTCTCCCCACTGATGGCGAGGCCGTCATTAGCAGATCACCCAACAGTGACGTTCCTCCTTTCAACCCCGCCCGGCGGCTCTCACTGGAGAAGTCCCTTTCTGTGCCTTGGCCCGTCCGACTGAGCAACTCTCCTTGATGCGTAACATAAAGATGGATTTATGGCGTTTGTTAGACAAGCCCACTCCGAACCACAATCACCTCTTGTTCTGCCGGGACTTCGGACAAATTGCTGTCTTTCAGCACCGCCGCTGCTGCCGCCGCCGCTGCCACTTTTCGGCCTAATGCACGTGATACCCAACACCTGCACTTTCATCTGCGCGGTGGCCGTGCGCCGTCCTCGCTGCATGGGGCCGCGCTCGCTCGCGGAGCGGAGCCGGAAGGACCCTGGTATGGTCTGCCGTACACGGCCATTATCGGCCGTGTAAAATTTAAATGGAACACGCCGCTGAAG